TGCAAGAATCAAAGTTTCTGTGAATTTCTTTGCCTTACGGGGCCTCAGACATTCCACCGTATGAGTTGTAACAAATGGTCTTTAGATGTGGCAAACTTGGAAAGATCTGTGTGCTCCAGTTTTTAGCCTGGATGCTGCAGCCTGGGAGCGTGCCTCTGGCTGCTGGTGGAAGATTGGAACGTTGATCGGGGGTCTCCAGGCCCTGGGGCGGGCTAGGGTGCAGGGCATCTGGGGCGCACTGCCCGTCCACGTTGGGGATCGGGATGCAAAGCCAACGGGGGCGTCAAGGAGGCCAGGAAAGAGTCATGGCCACGGGTGCGGCCCTGACTCTGGCCCTGAGCAGGATGGCGCTGAGCGAGAGCAGCTGTCCTCTGTCCTGACAGAGCAGCCAGTGAGCAGAGACGAGGCCACAGGATGGGCAGGGGCACAAAATCCCCTCGGAGCAGCTCTAGGGCTCTAGGCCAGGGCTGGGCTGTCACAGAGTCTCGGGTACCATCCCCAGCCCCGGCCTCACTGCTCCCCTGCCCTGACTGTCTGATCACGGCCCACTTGGAAAGCTTCCTGATGTGCCTGGCCCTGCTCAACCCTCTCACCCCTGCTGGTTTTGCCCTGGCCCCTGGTGTGGGTGGTTCTTCTGGCCTGAAGACACCTGCCAGGGAGGGGCTCTGGGGGTCACTAAAGGCATTCCCAGTTCTGCCATCCCAGGCAGGATGCCCTGGGGACAGCGGCATAGACTCAGGGCTGTTTACAAAGCCACAGGTCTTTATAAAAACAACTGGGCAACTAAACCCAGGGCTGATGTGCAAAGACTCACTCACACAGTCAGTGGTCACTGACAGCTCGTCTTCCGCGCATGTCAAAGGCCACAAAGAGACACACACCGGCCTAAGAACATGAGACTCCAGCATGGGCGTCGGCACGTAGACCATTCTCTTACCTCTGGACACTCTAAAGATATACTTTTATAGCAATCTTAATTTGCAGTCCACATTTTTTCTAGCAGTATTTCAAAGAAGCAATGCCCTCACTTTCTCAATAGCTAACTTTCCCAGGATTCTGGAAATCCTTATATGGAAGTGGAAGAGCTGGTCTCCTCGGCGGGAGGACGGCGCGCGCCAGCTGCCCCTCCCAGCTGCCCCTCCCTGCTGCCCGCGCTCACTGCCCGCTGTTGCCTTTGCTCCAGCGGGAACAGCCATCTGACTGTAAAGAGAGCGTTTCCTCCCCTTCTCACAGGTGGCTCTCTCGAGGTCTGGGCTGGACATGGGGACAGGCTCAGGGGTAGTGGTTGCAGCACCCCCAGACATTGCATTGTTTTGCTTCCTTTCGTCTTTTGGATGGTGGTGTTCCTCTTTTGTCCCAGCTGGATGCTCCCTGCCCCAGGTGGCCCACAGGCCGGGGCCAGAACTGCAGGTAGACAGATCCTAGCCTCAGACTGTGCGGGCGCCTCAGGGTCACAAGGCGCATGGAGGATGGGCCCACCTCCGCAGGCTGCCTCCAAAGTCCTTAAGGATGCAGCCCCACCCACGGGACATGCTCTGGGTGTGCTTTGGCCACTGGTTTGTCAAGAGGAGAACAGTGGACGGCATTTTGGGGAAGGCAGAAAAATAAGCACAAGGGCACTTCGTGCTGATTCCACGCGCTTGGGTCTCCGGTCCAAGCTCAATCCGGCCCCCCGACAGCACCTTCCTGACGGTAAGATTTTATGGTACAAGGTCAGCTTTGCCACTTACATCCAAGGCCATCAACTGAGAATTCTCAGAGTTTACAAACTACCACACTGAGCTACGTTGCAAGCCAAGAGATTTTTCTTGTGCCGCTCGTAATTAAAGAAATCTATACCAAATGGCATAGAAACATAAGTAAGCTTCCAAAGCTATGAGACCCAAAATATTTGAAAACTCGAAAGAGTTCCTTTCACTCTGCCGTGCTATGGAAAGCCATTAATTTAGCAGGAACCCCCTGGCTTGTCAACTAGCAAAAGGCGGAGCCTCCCGGGGGCGCTGGAAGCCCTGCAGACCCCTGGCGATTTCTTCCTTCATCTGTTTTGTGGGTAATTTCACTCTGGTTTTTAAACCAAATGGCATCCTTTTGCTGAAGCCTAAAAATAATTCAATTCAATTATTGGAAATAAATCCTAAGTTCTTTAAATAGACAGCACATTCTGAAATATAAAAAAACCCTACACATCAGAAGCCGGCAGAAGCCCTGGGCACTACACACAATTCATGTTCTGGTCCCAGGGAAGGCGTACAATTGTGCGTCAGAAACCCGTGGCATTAAGCAGTGAGCAAGCTCTCTGAAGCGGCACTGACAGGCAGCAGGGAACACTGGAGTAATTTCAAACTTTTAATTGTGACATATTTCTCTTCCCAGGAAATTTTAGGAGAAGTATCACCTGGCCCTGAATGATGTGCACAAGTGACTTTCTTCCGTCTGCGTAAGAACATCCAGAATGTGTAAGAACCGGACCCGGGACCACAAGAGATGCCAGCAGCGACAGCACGTCCCAGACACCCACGCGGTCCAGCCCCTCGTGTCTCGGAGGCCAGGATACGGCAGCTGAAGTCAGACATCAAGGGGCATTGACGTACTTTTTGAAGAGGAAAAATTGCATCATTTATATAAAAGGGTCGGTCAAAAGGCACTGATTCGGGCAAGTTCTCTGAAGCCGGTCTCTCACCAGGGATGCCAGAGTCAACAAATCAAAGTGTGCGGAAGGGGTTAGACGGCTGAGGAGTCCTTGGACTCACGGACACAACCTTCCCCCAAATGGACCGAAGTGCCCAGATGGCGCTGCTGTCTGTGTAGCCGGGGGACATGCGCGCCGTGCGGCAGGAGCTTTGGGAAAGGCCACAGGAGGGTGAAGCTCCCCCGGAGTGGGCACAGTTTGTGTAAATCAGCTCATAAGTGAATGCCCGGGACTCATGGAACATTCCAGATCCTCAGTCCAGCCCCCTAACTTCTGCTGAAGCATCTCCTCCCGGATCTCAGTGGCAGAACGGAGCCACCTGGGGACCGAGGCCTGACATGGGGAGGGAGTCCGGTGCCTGAGCGCCGTCCTCACAGGCAGGGCCCGCGGGCCAAGTGGGGCTGGGGATGGAGGACGGAGGGACAGAAGCTTCCTGCAAAACATCTGTGTTTGCTTCAAAGCCAGAGCTCGGTCACAGAGGATGTCGTCCGGATGATTAAAACCGTGATTAACGCCTGGATGCTGTCAAACACCAAGTGTTGGGTGTTGGGGGCCAGTCCAGGGGAAGCGACCACCGGCTGCCGCAGGGGGACGTCCCAGCTGCTCTGGACCCCGCTGAGTGTTCCCTCCTACATGAGTTCAGACGCACCCAACGATGCCTCAGGGGGCTCGTTTGCTTTTGAAGTTGTGTGCATCTATCCAGAGACCAGAGAGACCTGCTTAGCTGACAGCCGTGGTCTAAGCGTAACAATACAGAGGTGACGCTCGGGTCCCTTTCCTGGAGCCCTTGGCCCCCATCGGAGGCTCTCAGCGTCCACCCTCTGTGGCCCACATGCGCGTCCTTTGCCCTCGAAAGCGGCTGTCTAAGGAGAAGCTGCGGGGAGGCAAGAAAACAGGGGCCTGTGAGGCTGGGTGGGGCGTGGCTTACTCCGGCACCCCAGGGAGCCCCTGGTCCTGCCGAACTGCAGCCCCAGGTCTCCTTCACCCCGGGAGGAAGACCCCGCTGCTTCCTTGTCTTGTGGAGCCAATGCTCATCCTTCTCAGCATTGTTTCTGGGAAGCTCTGTGGCGTCCGCTTGGTACCTGTGAGAACAGCACTACACCTGGGCCCTGGTCAGCAAAACGATTCCGTGAGGGGCGCACAGTGGGGAAAGGCCAAAGGTATTGAAATGGAAGGAAAAATGAACCCACTCGGGTCTAAATCCACATGTTGGTGGCCCCCCAGGCATCCATCAGAGGACGCCCAGCCCCCAACTGCCAGGCACCCCCGCCTGGCACCCCCCTCCCTCCCTCTCCCTCCCCCCTTCACCGGGAAACCACAGGGTGAGGATGGAAGAGGTGAGGACGGGTCCAGGTTCTGAGCCAAGACTACATTTTCCTTCAAGGCTGCAAAGATTTGTTATCACAGAAGGCCTACTGCTTCTGAGGCACATTTTTCAGAGAAAACACACAGAGTGCAAACATCTTGACAACTGTGCTGGGGTTCCCACTGCAGGCCTAGGGGTCCCACGACAGCGGTGACCAGCCTGCACCTGGTAGCTGAGGGGACACACAGCCGGGCCGACGTGAGGTGGGGCGGGTCCTGCCGGGATATCGGCTCCACGTCAGCACAAGAAGTGGCCCCCGGGCTCCCTTCCAGAGTCGCCCTCACCTTTCCCCGCATCGCCCCGTCCGTCTCTCCCCTTCCAGGAACTTAGACGCACAGACCCCGAATTCTACCGCGTTACATGGGACTCCATAGGAAAGGGGCCACGGACGGAGCCTCGCAGGAGGGTTAAAGGGGCAACGTTCATCCCCCGGCTGGAAAGGAAAGGCCGATCTCCCTCCCTCCTGTGTTGGGACCACAACCAAGCCCTGAGAAGCACACTCGGACAGCAGGGTCCCCGCTCCCCTGGTGCCGCGGGAGGTCACCTGGGCCTCCCTCACCCAGGTGTCACCTGCTTTGTAGGTGAGAAGCCTGGACATAGGGTGAGATTACTTGGCCCAAAGTCACAAAGTGAGACAGAGACAGAGCCAGAACCGCAGCCCACCCTCCGCCAGCACACTGCCCCACCTGGCACCTCGACGGCTCTCTCCACCCCCACGGGGCCGTGGAAACACAGCCAGGGCTGAGCCAGGGGACGGTGCACGCTGTCCAGCGTCCGAGGTCCCCACCCAGGCAGGGGCACGGGAGCAGCTGCTCAGACGCACCCTGAGGCCTCCCGCCCTCTGTTTAGGGCTGGATCAGTTCTAGGTTCAGTCAGTGGGGTCAGAATGACCCCCTAAGCATCCCCTTCCGGAAAGACGCATGAGGAAAGGACATCGCCACCTACCGATTCCTCTTGGTCTTCAGGTTTGGGTCTTCCCTGCCGTCTTCAGAACCTGACCCGTCGCTGTGGTCGGCTGGAAGAATACAGGTTAACACGGTTAATACAAGGCTCAGGGCTTTGGCAAACCACAGGGAAGCCCCACTTTCAAACAGCCTCATCCTGAAACTAAGAGAACAGATTCCTCTGAAGGATGGACCTTACACCCTGTAACTACACACGCAGTTCATACCTCTCATATTTTGGCAGAAGAGACATCGGATGTGCTGCTGTGCAGAGAAGTCGCCTCCGGCCACCCGTGTAGAGGCTGCCAGACCTTCCAGAGGGGCTGGGGGGGGGGAGGCGGGGTCCCCCCCACCCCGAGGGGGCAGGCGCCGGCCCCGGTCTAGCCCTTCCGCTCACGGCTGCCCTCACATTCCCGGGAGCGACCTCCCAGGCCTCTCGTGCACGGCGCGCGCGCCGCTGCTGTCTCCGAGGTTACTGTCAAAGAGCCAAACTGATTCTGAAGTCAGGTCCCTCCTCACACCCCAGTGGGCCGGCCCCGTAAATGTCTGATGAGCTTCCGGAATGAAAAAGTGAAACGGGGCTTTGGAGTGCCACACTTGTCTCCAAAAGGGAAAGAGGAGAAACGAGGACAGAGACGGCGCTGGAGCATCATCACTGCGGTCCTGACAGGCCGAGCGCTGCCCAGCCCTGCCCGCATCACAGCCGCCTTCTCCCCTGGTTTTCTTTCCGTGTCCGTCACCCCCGGGAAACCACCCCCATCACCGTGTCCCCACGGGGGCACCAGAGCAGGGGGCTCGCTCTGCAGGGCATCCTCAGCGCCCCCACCTGCCGCCCCGCCCCCAGGGCTGCTGGAACCCACGTCCTTGCCGAGGAAGCCCTGCAGGGAGCACGCGCTCACGGTGAGTGCGGCTTATGGGGAAAACATCAGTTCCCACAGCGCCGACAGAGCCCTGCTCGCCTCCTCTCCTTACACAGCCGATGCTCCTCCTCGGGCACCGCCGGCAGCCCCGCACGCCTCCACCACCGGCCCCAGCCCAGTCCCAGGCGGGCTCTCAGGGCGCAGCGCGGGGCTGCCAGCGAGACGACAGGGTCAGCTTCTGGAGCTCCCAGGCCGCCCACCCACCCTGCATCTTGGTTCCAGCGGCTCCTTCCTATCGCTGGCCCATCCACACCAGGTCCTGCACCCCGCAGCCCAGCCCACCACCACGGGGCCAGAGGAAGCCCCTCTGCAGGGGCCTGGACCCGGGTGGGCTTCTGAGGGCTCTTAAGCTGAGCTCCTCAACCTGGCACCAGTGACGCTTGGGGCTGGATGGCGGGGCATCCTGTGCACTGTAGGATGGCGAACAGCACCCCAGGTCTCCACCCCCAGACGCCAGTGGCGGTGCCCCTCCCAGTAGTCACAACCGCAGATGTCTCCAGAAATTGCCAAATGTCCCCTAGGGGACAGAGCCCCTTTCCCACCCCACTGAGCACCAGCGGCCTAGGGAAGGAGCCTTGTGATAACTGAGCAGATGTGCGGACGGGAAGGGCTCACCTGCCTCGCTCCCATGCCCTGTCCCCACCTGCCGGTCTGCAGCCCCCACAGTCGGTCCCCTTTCTGCTGTGACCCGAAGGACGCTAGCCGCGGAATAAGAAGGCAGCCCACAGAATGGGAAGCATATTTGCGAGCTGCATGTCTGATAAGGGGTTAGCACTCACAACATACAAAACTCAACAACAGCAACTAAAACAGAAATAACCCAATTACAACAGCCAAAGGCTTGAGTGGACGCTTCTCTGGAAAAGACAGACAAACGTCCAGGAAGCAAACGAAAACATTTGTAGTCATTAGGGAAATGCAGATCAAAGCCACAGTGAGATACCGTTTCACACACTATGATGGTAATGAAATACTACAACTAATAATTTTGTAAAAACCCAGCGAACAACAGGTATTGGCAAGGATGTGGAGGATGTGGAACTCGTGTGCTTTGCTGGTGGGAACATAAAATGGGAAAAAGGTTGGGCCATTCCTCAAAGACTTAAACATAGAACTATCATGTAAGCCAGAAATTCTACTCCCAAGTGTATACCAAAAAGAATGGAGAACAAGGATTCAAACAGATACTTGTGTGCCAGCATTCATACCAGCATCGTCCACGATAGCCAAAACGTGGAAACAACCCAGGTGTCCATCAACAGGTGAATAAATAAACAAAATGGGCTTTACCAATACAATGGAATATTATTCGGCCATGAAAAGGAATGGATCACTGACACGTGCTACAATATGGATGGACCTTGAAAACATCATGCTGAGTGAAATAAGCAGACACAAATGGACAAATACTGCATGGTCTCACTTACACGAGGCACACGGACGGGAAGCCTGCAGGCGTGGGAAGCAGAACAGGGGTAACCAGGGGAAGGGGGTCATAGGACGTTGCCAGTAAACGGTTACGGAGGTTCTTTTTCGGGTGACAAAAAATGTTTGGAAATAATGGTGATGATTACACAACATCGGGAAGGCATTTAGAGCCACTGAACTGTGTGTGCAAGTAAAAACGGGTAAAAATCAAAGTTCATGTTATGTATGTTTTACCACAATAAGAAAAAATTCAAGATCCACTTGTTTCATGGAAAATATCAAAAGAAAAATGTCGGGACGATGCCACAATCAGAACACTGGTCTCCTCGACTGACACGGTTCCGTGTAATTCAGTAGGAAGGACAAACACCGCATCAGGGGAATACGCACCAAAACAAACGGCCAGTGAAGCAGCTGGAAGGTTCAGTTTCACCCACAAGTGAAGGAAGGCCAACTGGCACAATGACGGCTTGTGAAAAATCAAGTCTGGGTGATCTACGGGGCTTATGAGAATGTGCTGAGACCGTCAGGAGGCGTGTGAGCCGGTCGGTCTTTTTGGAGGAAGGGTTAGCAACGTCTGCCAGCATGTACCCTGCAGGTGCCTTTCGACCTGCGATTCTAAGAATGTGAATTTGTACAACAGAAATGCTTGTGAGAAGGTGATCTCATTGCGCTGTGTGTATGTGCGTGAGCAAACCGCTGCCCTGGAAGCCCATCAGCTGGAGAGACCTGCCGGAGTCACGGGGGCCCGCTGAGAGAGAGAGAGAGAGAGAGAGAGAGAGAGAGAGAGGAGGGAGGGAGGGAGGAGGAGGACGACGAGAGA